GGCTGTGTTTCGGTTTGAAGGGTGGGATATGGCGTGAATTTACTGGGTACAGAGGAATAACATCTGAGTCCTTAGGAATGGTAACGCATGAGGGGTATCGTGGGCGTAACAGTATACTCTGTTATGTCCACGGTACTGCTCATGTCTATAGGCGACGGTTACCACTTTCCATCAGGTGGGCCGTCAGCTTGTTTGCCATTCTAAGTTGTATATAGAAAAAAAAAATTATACAAAAATTAGTAGAAAAATATATCTTATTAAAAAAAAGAACGTTCACGAATTGAAATAAAAATTATAACAAATACGTGAATTTTTCCAATTTTTGCAACTTCGGATCCATATATGTATAAATCTAGAACTGTCATGTGCACACATTTACAAAACACGCACACTAAAATAACTATGCATTTTCTCGTCTCGTTTTTGTAATTGTATTGCCTGTCTGTCAGTAACACTTGTACGTTACACTTTGTCTATGATTCAAACCACTGTTTTTGCGTAGAGAAATCCTGCTTAATGCAAACCATCGTTCGACTAAAAATGCAATTGCAGCCGTGAAGAATGGGCATGAAACTTCATTGTTGCTTTTCTCCTACAAAGAACAGTTCTCTTAAGGGACAGAATTTTTAGATCAGAGAGAGACTGTACAATAATCGTTCGCTCGTGTACCTCTGTTCCACTTATATTTCTGTCGTAAAACAGCTGTGTTTTCATGGTTGGGTGTACAAGACCAAATATTTCAGGAATAGCAACAAATTAGGGATTCCATAGGTATCTCAGCACCATGGGTAGCATTCTATGATTCCGATACTATATTCTATGATACGATGCTGTTCATGTCTATAGGTGACAATTACCAGTTTAAAGTATGTGGAACTTTTAATTTATTTGTTGTTCTAGGTATTATGAAAAAAAGATCTTTGCGTATAGAAATAATTTTCTACTGATTATGTTTCGCCTACTCTATCTGTGGTAATGATATTCAAAAGACTGTGAATAATGTATTAACGTATGCTAACGAGGGGGAAAAAAACTATGAAACTAGAGTGGAGTGATTTGTAAACATTATTTTTGCGCTTGGCTATGTTAATCTCAGACAGATTCACAGCAAAATGTAATTTAAATGCTAATAGTATACACGTAGATATTTAAAACATTTATTTTTCACGAAACTCTTGGGACGTTTTTATAATTAGGCGTATATAATTAAGATTCGGATGGTAGTTACTAACCTGGTGGGTTACTAAATTTTATAACAGATTATGTAAAAAACAGCGCCGTTTAAATTTCCAACAATTTGGTACTTTTTTTTTCCTTTAATACATGAAAATGGAATGAATTTTAAAAGACAAACGACGGTTGTATGTGTTGTATAATTTGTAAGTCAACACGGATACGTTTATTATTGTTTTTCTACAAAAGTTTTCAAATTTTCACCGCACAAATTACATTTCTGTTTTGCCAAAGGTTGACTGGGAGTCAACTTGGAATGCTATATAGCATGAGCTCCGCCTTTTGTACCAAACTAATTTTTGTAATGTGGTCAATAAAGAATAAATAAATAAAATAGATGATAAATAGTTTGGAAGGATGGGAGTTTTATTAGCACACCAATGGGAGATTTTGTAAAAGAATCGTCTGAATTGGCACCTTCGTTCCAACTTTAAAGCAACTATACACACATGGATATGTTTCGGTGAAGAAAGGTGAGATACAGCAATGATATTATAGGGAACGGAGGTATATCACCTTAAGGCTCAGGAGGTAGCAACGTAAGTGATTTTTATTCTATGGTGTCAAAAAGATGTTATGGAGACCTTCAAGAAAAGAGTGCACTTCTTTTTTTAAGGCTGCAATTTTTCTAACGTTGTGGGTACCTGTGGGTCAGCGGTATTCACTTACCATCAGGTGAGAAGCATGTGTTATAGAAAAACTGTCCATGATGCCATTTTCGTTCATGGTGGTTCGCTCAAACGTTCTGCGGCCAATGCACGCGCTTTTACCACATTAGTCTCACGCTATCAGTTACTTGTCACTGTCCAATCATTGTAAACTAAACCTTAAGTTATAAAGACGAGAGTGTACATTAAAATTTAGTAGACCCCTGACCATTGAAGACACGTGGGTACCTACGTCACCGGCGTATTCCAAGAACATCGTTTGCGCCTTCTGAGAAAGCATTTCTCAAATACCTCTTCACAGATAATGCGTATCTTTTTTTCCCATAATTTTTTTTTTTTTGTTGTAGAGTGAGGTACGTAACGTTTTTTTTTTCATTAGTAATGGATATTGGAGATACTTAATTGAAGTGTTTTTAGGGTTCCTCACTTAAATAGGTTACCTAATATTTTTTTTTCAAATTAGAATCCTCTTCAATTTCATCGATCAGTTACGATAATCATTAAAATAAACTTACTTGATCAATAAGACTAGCGGTCAAAAATTCTCGTCAATTTTTGAATAAAATCTTTTATTCAAAAATTAACGAGAATTTTTGACCGACTTATAATTACTGTCGTGAAGCAGCTGTGTTGTATTTTAGTTTGGAGAGTGGGATGTAATGTAATGTAAATAGGACTCCATTTTCCGCACTTAGCCTCTCATTTGGGCCATTGTGCGTATGAGTCGTGGCTAGTACAGCCAACCCAGCTCCGCCCAGAAGCACAGAAGCTTCCTGGGATCTTCACAGGCCTCACGGAGCGACCTCACCGTTCCGAGCATTTCTAAACGTTGATGGGCCACAGCTTCACATTCCAGGATTACGTGAGCAGCCGTTTCTTCGGCGTCGAAACAGCCTCGACATAGAGGGCTGTCTGTGGCTTCTATTGTGTATAAATGTTTGTTTAATGGACAATGACCCGTTATTGTCCCTATCATTATTTTGAAGTTTTTCCTGTGTAGATGTAATAAACGTTTTGGTAGTCGTTGATTAAACGTAGGCACGGGCAATTTTGATTGTCTGCAATCAGTAGCCTGTATTTGGAGTGTGGAATATGGCAGTTAAATTATTGGATCATCACCATAATCTTCATCATCTCAGCCATTATCTATCCACTGCTGAACACAGACCTCCAGACATAAGGAACTGTCCTATTATTATTGGATACGAGGGCATAACAGATCAGTCTTACAATGCATGAGGTATTATTGGCGTCTATGAAGTCCAAGGCGCTGTTCATGTCTATAGGTGATGGTGATCACTTTTCATTAGATGATCCGTCAGTTTGTTTGTCATTACAAGTTGAATGAATAAATAATAGTTGCATGAAAAAATTAATATTACGTTACTAGCTTTATCTCGCGGTTTCGTCCGCGTGAATCAGTATATAAAGTATCCTATGCAATAGGTTAGGATATTATCTATCTATGTACTAAATTTCGTACAAAACTGTTCAATAGTTTTTGCTTGAACAAGTAGTAAACATCTATCTATCTATCCGTTGTTACAAACTTTTGCAATCATAATCTTAATAGGATAAGACTGATTTAAAAAGAATAAGACTCGTTTCTTGCTAGATCTTAGCTTAAAATATTTGCTGAATTCACGAAGTATACAGTGAACGTAAGTTAAAAGTGTCTTTTAATGTATAAATGATTTTAATTAAGAAGAAAATCATTATTATACGGATCCCTCAACTAATGTTGTCAATCAACTAATATTTTTGGTTAACACGTATTTTTTCTTATGGGGCAATTCACATTTTTTTTATTGATGACCGTTACGACACCACCAACGCCGCCACTAAGTTCAGAGAAAATTTGTTTTTTTGTTGTTGTGTAAAATTTATTGATCTATCTTTAAAATCTTTTGCGGGTAGACAGAGAGAATCGAACGCCGAAGGTTCTCGTAATTTTCTTGCTTTATCTATTTTTTATCTCTTGTTTTTTAAATAACTAGTTTAAATTTATGTTTGTGTGTTCGTCTTCATTTGTTTTCAACGTGTGAAAGAATACGTGCAAAACCACATGGTTTTGCATTCTTTGACACGTATGTATTCTATGTATGTATTCTAAATGTGTTAGTATCTATGCATTGGCTGGCACTAAACGTGTTAAGTATGTTACTAAACTAACACGTTTAGTACCAGCAAATACATGGATTTGCCTATGTTTTCTCTTCTCTTTCTTCTATTTTCTTGTTTACAGAACAATTTTATTATTTTAGTACTATATTCTTCTTTCTTATTAGAAACATTGATGATGCAATTACTTATTCGTATTATTATTTCTTTGATTAAAACTCCCTCATCTACTAGTCTCTTTATATTATCATGAAATGCTATTGCCTAACTTTCCGCTGATATAAAACACCGGTAACAAACTAAGTTAGTTCTAGTAACGGATAACAGTAGAATCTTATTGGATTTTAATATAGAATTCCAATATAGATCTTACATTATCATAACTATATCAGCCGGTAACTGTCTACGAGGATTTTGCCAGTAGTTGCCACGCTTGACAAGCGGATTGGCAACCGCAGTTAGGCTATGGTGATGTTTTAAAAGGGACGCTGCTGCAAATCTCTCGATTATTAAGTTACCTTAGGCACCTTTTATAGTTTATTAGTATTATTAGTTGATTATAAAGGGGGGAAAGAGTTTGTTAGAAATGGGTCTACCATTACTAGCATATTGTAAGTCCCTGTCAAGTCGAACTCCTCGTTGTTTCTCCTGGAAACCATCGTGGCTAATTCTAGTTGAAGTCGTCAGGATGGGCTTACTGATCTGCTTTCATCCTCATCAGTCAACTATTACTGGTACCCCGCTAGTGTATATCGATAGCACAGGCGGAGTTACCATACTATTATCACCCATTAAAAAAAAAGTAGATTATAAAAGAATTAGGCATTTAGGCATAGGTAATATGGATACTTCCGGCTGTCATAAGAGTAATAGTGTGTTAAAAGTGCTCCTGAGTTTATTTTTAATAACCAGTGAAAATCAGCAAACATCAATTCGAATTGGCGAAAATCACAACGCTAAAACTAGTACAAAGCAAATCGCGACAATAGTTTACTAAAAATTGGATTATATTGGGAAATATCACCAACAATACCACAGTTTGGAGGTTAGAAATTCGTTAACTTTCATAAACATTATCAATTGTCTATTTGACGTTTGACATCTCACTGAATTGCAGTGTTACCAACATAACGGACGGAACACTAACGTTCGGAAACACGTATACGAGTAGTTAATACACTATAGACAATAAAGGTATGTCAGAGGAAATGCTACAGCTATTTCAAATGATGAGAATGGAATTAGAAAAACAAGCAACAACGATTACACAGAACATAACTGATACCTTAATGCGTACTATAGATGTTAAAATACAACCATTACTGGAAGAAAATAAATACCTGAAATCTGAAGTGCAAATATTAAATAGAAAAGTAAAATATTTGGAAGAAATGAATAAGAAGAATAATATAATACTACATGGAGTCAAGGAAACTGAAAATAATTCTGTAGAATTATTCAACACAATAATGGGTATTTTACAAAAAACTAATGTTAAAATAGGAAAATCGGAAATAAACAAATATTACAGATTGGGAAGGAGACAAGATGAAAGCAAGACCAGACCCATACTTGTCTCCTTTATCTCATATCAAAAAAAAGTAGAAATAATGAAAAATAAAGCAAAAATGCCACATAAAACCTTTCTTACCGAAGATTTTTCAAAAGAAACGCTAGAACTACGTAAAAATCTACAAAAACAATTAAAAGAAGAAAGGGAAAAAGGAAATGAAGCTTTCATCAGGAATAATAAACTTATTATCACAGGAAAACCAGAAGCCGAAAGGAGAAAAAGAGAAGTTTCTATGTCACCTGAGATTATACAGAAACAATCTCACTCAACAGGGGAGAGAAATATTATTGCCCCATCTAAAAAAATGCATAAAACTGATGCATTCGCATACATGAGAGCCAGATCTTTCTCACTGTCAGAGAAACAAACACAACCTCATAAGGTATAGGAATTTTCTGACACCGGAAACGTGAAGAAAACAAACATTATAAAAACAATTCTAGCTAAAAACAAACAGATCCCCAATACGGTTGGTCACCGCGGGGAGATAGACCCTACCCCCCAAGAGCGTACAGTGGAAGGATTCAAGAATCATAACAAACACTACTCCGAAAAAAATGAACAAAAACAAAGAACAAGACTAAACATAGCCACACTAAACACAAGATCGGTAAAATCCCAAGAATCCCTACTCGAATTAGAAAATGCATTGGAAACCATACACTGGGATATTTTAGGTTTAAGCGAAGTGAGGAGAGCTGATGAAAAAATTGAAGAACATGATAAATATATATTTTATTATAAAAATGTAATAGCTGGCCTTAATGGAGTAGGATTTATGGTAAAAAAATATCTAAAAAACGAAATATTGGAGTTTCGAGGCATATCGGATAGGATAGCAGTCTTGAATATTAAATTGCCTGGCCACAAACAACCATCTTCAATCGTTCAAATATATGCCCCGACTGATATCACCAAAGAAGGAATAAAAAACGAGTTCTACAACCAACTCAACGAAATAATGCCAACGTTGTTTAAAACTATAATTGTAATGGGTGACTTCAATGGACAAATAGGAAAGAGAAGAACAAATGAAGACAAAGTACTGGGACCACATACAACAGGCAAAAGAAACGACAATGGGCAAAGACTGATAAACTACGCTCTGGAAAACAACCTAAGAATCATGAACAGCTACTACAAAAGGAATTTAAATAGAAAATGGACATGGGTGTCACCGAATGGTAAAATAAGAAATGAAATAGATTATATCATCACAAACAAACCAAGATTGTTCTTAAACATAAATATTGTCAACCAATTTAACTACAACACAGACCACAGACTACTTAGAGGACAATTATATACACGAGAACCAAAATCATTAAGGAAAAATATCTACAATACAAAAACAGTGGCTTTACCAATCCCGGATAATATTCTAGAGTCTTTACACACTAATTTAGAAAAAATAGACAATCTTAAAGAAGTCCAAGAAAAATACGACGCTTTAGAGAAGGAATTAAGAGAAATTGAAAGTAAAATGAGAACAATAAGAAAGGAAAAAGACAAATTAGGTTCAGAAGCAAGGAAGTTAATCATGCAAAGAAAACCCTTATTTAAAGACAGAAAAAATAATAGAAAAGAAATAACAATTCTGAGCAAAGAAATAAACCTGCAAATACGAAAACACAGAGAGAGACTAAGAACTGAAACAATGAGATATTATATAGAAAAATCAGGCGGAATTAAGAAAGCGGAGATCGAATTAAGAGACAATTTAACTTGGATAGATAACATGAAACACCACAGAAACAAGAAAAATAAAACTAATAGAATTGAAATATTAGAAGTAGCAACGGAATATTATCGCGAACTATACAATGAACACGCAACAATAGAGGAATCCAACCAGTTAATAAACTGCACTAAAACTGAAGAGGATGTGACCCCCTGCATACTACAAGATGAAGTCAATAAGGCTATCAAATCACAGAAGAAAGGAAAAACGCCTGGAGAAGATTTAATATCTAATGAATTGCTAACGGGATCATCCAAAGTAACGTTAAACACTATCACAGAGATATTTAACGAAATTTTGCGCACAGAATATATACCTCATCAGTGGACTACATCAATTATTATATTACTACACAAAAAAGGGAAGAAAGATGATATAACCAATTACAGACCCATCAGCTTGATGTCCAATATGTACAAAATATTTTCAAAAATACTGTTAGATCGTTTAACAAAGACTTTGGATGAAAACCAACCTAAAGAACAAGCAGGTTTTCGTAGTGAGTTCTCAACAATAGATCATATTCACACTATAAAACAAGTAATCCAGAAATGCAGTGAATATAATATTACCTTTTACCTTGCGTTCGTAGATTATAATAAAGCATTCGATTCCTTAAAACACATAAAAATTTGGGAAGCTCTAGAAACACAAGGAGTGGAGAAAAAGTATATTCGACTGATCATCAATATATATAAGAACATGAAAGTAAAAATAAGAACAGAAAGAGATGGAGAATCTTTTCCGATAAAAAGAGGTGTAAGACAAGGTGATCCTTTGTCACCCAAACTATTCTCAGCTGTTCTCGAACACGTGTTTAGATGCCTGGACTGGGAAAACTATGGTTTGATTATCAACGGTGTGCGATTAAACCACTTAAGGTTTGCAGATGATCTAATATTGATTTCCGTTGATCCAAAAAGTTTACAAAAGATGTTAGACCAACTGGTGCATGAAAGTGATAAAGTAGGGCTATCAATGAACACTACGAAAACCAAAATAATGTCAAATTCGGAAAGCTTCCCTATAACGGTTAACGGTAAAACAGTGGAATATGTGGAGGAATACACATATCTCGGTCAGATCATATCTCCAAAAGACCTAACAACAAAAGAAATTAACAACAGAGTTACGCTGGCATGGAAAAGATACTGGTCTCTTAAGGAGGTAATGAAAAACCCTCTCATACCACTGAAAGCGAAGAGCAAAATATTTAATTCTTGTATTTTGCCTGTTATGACATATGGATGCCAAACCTGGAGCTTAACTAATCATAACATACATAAGTTAGAAACTTGCCAACACAGTATGGAACGAAGTATACTGAACATCAAATTAAAAGATAAAGTAAAACTGGACACTATAAGGAAGAAAACTGAATTCACGGATGTTACTTACTGTATCAAGAAACTAAAATGGAGGTGGGCAGGACATATAGTTAGAATAAATAAAGAAAAATGGTCTAAGGATATTACAGAGTGGTGTCCGAGACAATATAAGAGAAAAAAAAGGAGACAGCGTCGTAGATGGGAAGACGATATCAAAAAAATAGCGGGACACACCTGGAAAAGACAAGCGCAGAATCGCATTCAGTGGCGAACTCTAGGGGAGGCCTATGCTGGACAGCAAGACAATCTTCACGTACCGGTGTCAAACAAATAACTAAATTATATAAATACATTGTAAGATTGTTAATAAAGGCTATTATTATTATTATTATTATATGGATACCAAGCCGATATATATATATATATATATGTATATATATATATATATATATATATATATATATATATATATATATATGTGTGTGTGTGTGTGTGTGTATATATATTGGATTTCTCTGGTCATTGATGGTGGAAAAAGGTCATAACTCATTTCGATATCGCCCATACCGGTTGGATATCGATTTTCGAATATGTTAAAAGTCTGTTATTCAATATTATTTTTTGCAATTTTTTTTATACAACTTTGTATGGCACATAAGCCGACGGTCCATCTGATGGAAAGTGGTAACCGTCGCTTATAAATATGAGCAGCCGTTGACATAACAGAGTATACTGTTTCGCCCATGATACCCCCCATGCGTTGCCATTCCTGAGGACTCAGGTGTTATTTCTCTGTACCCAGTAAATTCACACTATATCCCACCCTTCAAACCGAAATACAGCCATGCAAACACAACTGCTTCACGGTTGAAACACGAATGAGACAGAGGTACCCAAGCAATCGACTTTTGTACAAAGTCTCCCTCTGGTAAACCAGACATAACAGACTTTTAACGTATTTGTATCGTATTTGGACAAATATATAGATATTATAACTAAAATATGTAGATATTGTAACTAAAATATATAGATATTGTAACTAAAATATGTAGATATTGTAACTGAAATATGTAGATATTGTAACTAAAATATGTAGATATTGTAACTAAAATATGTAGATATTGTAACTAAAATATGTAGATATTGTAACTAAAATATGTAGATATTGTAACTAAAATATATAGATATTGTAACTAAAATATATAGATATTGTAACTAAAATATGTAGATATTGTAACTAAAATATGTAGATATTGTAACTAAAATATGTAGATATTGTAACTAAAATATGTAGATATTGTAACTAAAATATATAGATATTGTAACTGAAATATGTAGATATTGTAACTAAAATATATAGATATTGTAACTGAAATATGTTAAATTGTTATAAATTATCCATCCTTATAATTATTCTTGAAAATGACACTAAAATTTGTACCAGAATATGCGTTCGCCGTTGTCGACATTTACTCTAGTAAAAAAAATAACTACGTGTCATAATACTAAGTTTAAAAAACGTATTGCAAAGATAAATTCTTATCAAGAGCCATATGTTTTTTTTTTAAGAATCACATTCATTCACGTATATCCAATAATTTATATTCTTTTATCGACGACGAGGCATTAAATATATTTATTGAGATAAATTTACGCTATGTAGGTGCATATTATAAATGCAACAAGTTTATGTCAATACATAGGAGATATTTAGAAAAAAAAAATAGTATGAGAGATTTTAACAAAAGCAATAGAATGGAAGACAAAACAACAATTTTTATAATTTTGCCTGTCTGTATCTACATATCGTCATAGTCGTAGAATACTGACGAATAATATATATACATATACATATATATATATATATATATATATATATATATATATATATATATATATATATATATATATATATATATATATATATATATATATATATATATATATATATATTCGTCAGTATTCTACAACTATGACGATATGTTTGTTTGGCATCAAGTAAAACATGCAGTATCCGAGGTATTAGATTCTATAATAGAACATACTAATAGATAAAGTTAGACACAGGGGGCAAACGAGCATGCGGCTCACCTGGTAGTAAGTGACTACCGCCGCCCATGATCACCCACAACACCAGAGACATTGCAGGTGTGTTGCCGGTCTTTTAAAAAGGAATATGCTCTTTTCTTGAAGGTTATGTTGTCGTATCGGTTCGAAAATACTGCTGCTGGAACTTGATTCCAAAGAATGATTGTGCATGGAAGAAAGTGCCTTGAAAAACGCACGGCGGAGGACCGCCACGCCAGATGGTTGTTCAACAGCGGACAATCAACGGTTAATACAACAATAAACTTTGTACAACAATCTAATAAAAATTAACTCTAATTATCATAATATATATTTTTTATAATATTTTTTAATTCAATTCACTCATAATCGTATTTTCTGATATTGCTCACGACTTGGGTTACATGTTTGTTTTTATTATTTACTTAATTTTCTCGTACTGTATAACTATGTCAAAGTAAATGCTGTGAACACCTTTAATAGGCGTGTGCATTAATATTGTATTGTATTTAATGTTTGTTATACCTATACGTTATAATGCAATATGCTGTTGGTGTTCCTTAAATAAATAAATAAATAAATAAAATATATAAATCCACGAATATTACAACAAAGTCACGTTTATCTATATTATGAAATAGTTGTATTAAATTGTAAATATATTTTTCGCTCGCTACAATCAAAGGCTGGGGAGCCAATAAATAAATCAACCGGCCGACCTATCAGATAGCGGTGTTAAAGTTCGTTAAACTATGTATATGTTAAGATTCATTCATCAATTGTTATCACTTACATTCGCAATTTGTGGAAGAAAGAATACTCTGCTGACAAGATGGTATGATTTCTAAACTGGGAATTATAATTGTGGTGATGACCCGTATGGAAAGTGTTAACCGTCGCCTATAAACATAAACCAGAGGGAGACTTTGTACAAAAGTTTGTTTGGCCACCTCTATCTCTATTTGTATTTCTACCGTGAAGCAGTTGTGTTTGCATGGCTGTGTTTCGGTTTGGAGGGTTCTTTATGACTGAAAATGGTATGGTAACTCCGTTTGCGTTATCGGTATACGCTTACCAGTGAAGGGTGACAGGTGTGAATGATGGCAGGTCAGTTGGCCCACAGTGACTAATTGAAAAAGAATTAACCACTGTGGTTTCCAGGGGGACCGCGTGGAGGTCGACCTGATAGGGTATATTGCTAGCAATGAGGTTGTTAAATCTCATTACTAATAATCCCTCCCCCCCCGGTTTGAAGGGTGGGATATGGCAGTGAATTTACAGGGTACAGAGGAATTACACCTGAGTCGTCAGGAATGGCAACGCATAGGGGGTATTATGGGCGAAGCAGTATACTCTGTTATGTCTATGGTACTGCTCATGTCTATAGGCAACAGTTACCATTATCCATCAGGTGGGTCGTCAGCTTGTTCTAAGTTGCATAAAAAAAACATACTTTTGAAATAACACCATGGAGATTTGACCCCATTAATATTTAGTTACGTATTCTAACTAGATGTTTGGTTAATAGTAAATACAAGACAATATTGCATCAGCTTACACGGTGTACATGAGTCCGAAATCACGTCGTAACGCTCCGCATCCCTTCAACCAAAAAAATTTATTCACACTTTTTTTTCTATGGTATTTACATAATCCGATAGTTAGCAATTACAACAGTGAAAGAACAACAAGACATTTGATTCTTAAGTTCTACAATTAATTAGGTGATATAGGTAAAAATAAGAAATTGAGTAAAACGGTAATAAAATCAAATTTAGACCAGCTAGATAAAGTTTTTAAGAAGGATAGACAAATATCTAGTACAGCTGACGTTGTCGATGCATGAATTAATCCTAACTTCCAAAATGTGACATTTGCATGCTATTCTGTAAATGGCTAAATAGGCACGAGACTTTATATAACATAAGACCATTGATACCTACTTTATTTAATGCAAATTATTTAGGGCCTATTGAAAATCAGTGTCGTAGCTTCAGATTTGAAACTGTGACATATGCTGAGTTAGGTCCTTTGCACAAACACTGCTACATTCATTTTGTTTTTTAATTGTTTTTCTTTCATTTTAAATTAAAAATAAAATAGTAATGTTATTATATAATTGTGTAATCTTCATTATTATGTTGTTTTAATATGTATAAATTTTCGAGATTTTCCCAAGAGACTACAGCATGGGGTTCTTCAAAAGAGGGGTGAAGAGGTTTCTTCAGGGTCGCCAACGCACGCGTAATACCTCTGGTATTGCAGGTGTTCATAGGCTACGGTAACCACTTACCATCAGGTGGGCCGTATGCTTGTTTGCCACCTCATTGCAACATCGGGCGACCATGCATAATGTTATACCACTGAGGTGGCAAACAAGCATACGGCCCACCTGATGGTAAGTGGTCACCGAAGCCTATGAACACCTGCAATACCAGAGGTATTACGCGTGCGTTGCCGACCCTGAAGAAACCTCTTTACCCCCCTTTTGAAGAACCCCATGCTGTAGTCTCTTGGGAAAATCTCGGCAGGGAGCTCATTCTACAACCTGAGTGTTCGTGGGAGGAAACATCTCTGAAACCGCGCAGTACGCGACCATTGAGGCTGTAGGACATGAGGATGAACTCCCTGTCGATGGCGAGCCGTACGATGGTAGAAAGTGGCTGTGGGCATCATATTGAATAATTCCTCTGAGCACAATCCATTGTACAGGCGGTAGAACACGCAGAGTGAGGCAAAATCTCTCCTAAGATTTAAGGGTTCGATACCGCCTGTGAGCCTGGGATCATCGACAATTCTCATAGCTCGTCGTTGCAACGAGTCGAAAGGTTCAAGCTGGTATTTAGGTGCTCCGGCCCATAAGTGACAGCAATACTCCATATGGGGCCGGATCTGCGATTTGTACAGCATTAATCGCTGATCCTATGTACCCTATAAATTTACTGCCATATCCCACCCTTTAAACCGAAACACAGCCGTGCAAATACTACTGCTTCACGGTCGAAACATGAATGAGACAGAGGTACCCAAGCAATCGACTTTTGTACAAAGTCTCTCCCCGGTGAAGCCTCAATAAGCCAATTGTAAAGTTTTTCATTATTTGTTTTTTGTCTGTCAGATCTCTATATTCTGTGGGTAATTTATTATATATTTTAACTGCCATCTAGTAACAATTCTTGTTGTACAATACCAATCTATGTCGAGGCACTACAAGTGGTCTCTGTGCAACCTTTCTCCTTAATAAACACTCTTTTTCATTTTTCTCAAAAATTGTATAGTGTTTTCGAACAAGTTAACAGTTGATATGGTATATAAAAA